AGGTGCCACCACCTCTGCAGACCCCGTCTCCCAGGGCTGCACCACTCTCCGAGGGAAGAAGTTTTTCCTTATATCCAACCAGTGTTTCCCATGTCACTACCCATGGCCTCCTGCCCTTCCCTGTGTCCCTCTGAAACAAGCCTGGCTCCATGTTGATCCCAAAAATCCAGAATGACTTGTCACAAACATTACTCACCAGCAGAGCCATGAGGGTGTTTGCTGCCGTTTCCCCATCGCCTCTGAACACCATGAAGCAAATCCCACGCAGAGAGCAAAGCCGGGGGGGTAAGCACAGCACAGACCCCCGGCCACCGCAGAGCCCTTGGCATCTCAGTCGAGCTTTCTGGCAAGAACTGGGTCCTGTTGGTTTGAAAGCGAACACAGCAGCGATATTTGAAAGGCATTTGCTGGAATTGCTCAACTGAGTTTCTAAATCTCACCTCTTCTTGACAAACGTCATAGGACGGGGATGACTTTCAGGCTGTTTTGACCCGTGCTGACAGTGGGTTCGTGATGATTCACTGCACTCCAGACTGAGAGCCCCAAAACCACGAGGGAAAACACAGGCTCGCCTTCGAGACTGGCATGAAAGGCTGGGACACGCCGCTTCTGCTAAAGCTCCCAAAATATTACTCACTGTTTTGAGTACAGAGGGGTCTGTTGGGAATTTACAAGTGAAATGCTGTTTAATTCATGAATTTAGATAGATAAGAAAATAAGTTTGTTGAGAAACACAGCCTTACTCTCAAGCTGGTTTCTGGATCAGTGACCGTGGCTTGCTGGGAGCCATGAGTGAGACAGACAAAATTCAAACGGTGCTTCAAGATACCAGCTCACACTGGCTTGGGAACTCGGAACCGTGAAGCTGGTACATGTGTCCTGCTGTTCCTGAACAGCAGAATGAGTCCAGCCACCACAACTGAGGCTCTCCCACTTCAGGGGGCTTTCCCCAATTAGCCTTATTTTGCAGTGTTGGGTTTGGGGATGACTGAACACCAATCCTCCTCCACAACCACCACATGGACCCAAATTTTGTGTTTCAAGAGGCACTTTCATTCTTGTGGCAGGCTTGCTGGGACCTTCAAAGAGAGCAGCATATTTTTGTCACCTGAGGAACGAATTGAACAGGAATCTTGTAGCCCTGGATTGACCTTGTAACTTCCCAGCGCTGGTGGCTGATACCTGCACATAGGCATCTCGCCGTTGGCATTCCATGGCTTTGTCCACCAACACCTGGAAAAGTGCCAAGGCTGGAGATGCCCCTCTCCACTGAGCGGTCGCCGGCTGCAGCACCCTCTTGGAGAAGGTTTTTCTCATCTCTGACCTGAACCCCTCTGTGGCTGTGGCCGCTCCTTGCTCCACCTGCCACAGCCATTCCCCCCTCCTCCATCTGAACCACGAACAGACAAAACTGCCCAGGCTCCAGGCTCAGCCCTGGCCAAGCTGCACCACTTCGGGTGGGTGATGGATCACTTCACTGCTCCCCTTGCACCACCTGGCCCCGGGGGCGCTGCCAAGGGCTGTCACCATGAGCCACGCTGGCAGCAGGCAGCCTTCGAGGGGGCCTCCCTGGCTGTGGCTCTGCATTTTTTTTGGAGCTCACGGCTTGGCAGCCCATGGGGAGCCCCGGCACAACGCTGGCACGGCCCAAGCCCTTCCCTCCTTTGCGCTTACAGACGCGCTGCTGCACGGTGCCCATCTGCAGTCAAGCCTCAGGCGGCGCGCTATGGTTGGGTTTGGATGAGTAGACCCGTTTTCCTGCCCTGTCAGAAGTCCTCCCAGCGCTGGCTGCAGTCTCTGAGCAGGAAAATAAAACAAACAAGTGACTCTACTCTGCCAGTTAGCAGCCGTCTTGCCCAGGAATTGCATTGACAGATTGGCACAAACCTTGGCCTGCCAGTTCTCCTCGGGATTTTTCCTTCCGTTGCCCTCTTGCCGAGATCATTTTTCACTGTTTTCCTTTCTGACCAGTCTCCACTGCTGCCCCAGCCTTATCTTAAGCTGCCAAATTCAAGGTGACCCTGTGCAGGGCTCTCTAGCAGTTTGTCGCTGGCTGTCACGTCCTCGCAAGCTGCTGGGGCTCTGCTCCCAGCCTGTGTGTTGGTAATTGCTGTGCATGGTGCCCAGGAGCCTTGCGTTGGCTGGTGCTGGACACGGCTGGTGCCCGGTGACCTTTGCTGAAGCCCAAGGTGGTGCTCAGCTCTGCGCTGCGCTCGGCTGCCAGGCCCTTCCCCTCTTCCAGGGCAGATTTGCAGCCTCAAGCT